GTGGCAGACAGGAGTGTGTGGGTGTGTTCAAGCATTCAGCATGAAAAAGCTGCTGTTTGTGACTCAGTCGGTGTTGATGGAAGTTATTAAATAAACACACACTGACTTCAGATACACTGTGCAATGTCTTAATCATACAATGTGTACATACATACAGTGTTTTAGAGGCTTTCTGCTCAGCACAAAAGATAAACAGGTTAGTTTTTACTTATATTTGTTCTCCTCAGAGTTACATGATCCACTCCTTTGACGAAGAGGAGAAAACCGACGAGGTCCCAGCCAAACAGGCTCCTGGAAGCAAACCGGTATGTTTGTGGTGTTTTGTTGTGTTCGCGTGTGTTTCTGTTGTCAGCTGGTTTGTGACATGTGACTGTGGTTGGCAGAGCGTTCTGAAGGGAGTGATGAAAGGATTACAGATCAAGTCATCACCAAAGGTATGAAGCCCCGCCTTGGTGGGTTGGTGTTTCCTGCTGGTGGTGGCTGCTGCTGCGTTTAAGTGTCTCCTTGTGCTTTTTTTTTTTAATCGAAAATACTGCAGTTTTTACGGTGGTGGCTGCTGCATTTGATTATGTTTGTAGATTGTTTGTACATGCGCCCGTCCCTCACATTCTCGTGATTCTCTTGAATGCTTGAGGAGATTTCGCTAAATCTGGTACAAACATCGACTTGGACTCATTGAGGAACTGATGAGAGTTCGGTTGTCAAAAGTTAAAGGTCACTATGATGCTAGAAAACACTTTTCTTTTTTTTTTTTTGGCCGGAATTTATTTGACAGATATGATTAAAATTCATGTAATGTCTGATAGGGTAACATGATGAGGTGGTGACATTTAGTGTCCAAAAGACTAAAGGTTAGATATGAACAAAGATGTAAACTGCAATTAAACTGGATGGCACAGGAATGTAATGGTAATTTTTGATTAAACTGTTGTTTTGAAGTTATTTGAATGTCTAGCCAGTATGTGGATAAAAATGACGTTTTTGGTAGCACTTGCTGAAGACTTCTTGGATACATCTGGTGACTGATAAGATCCGCTGGTCATAAATGCTTCGCAATATTGGTGAAAAACGTGGCCTGAGGAAAGTCTACGTTTGTGCCTGAATCACAGTTCATTAAGTGTGAACATGTGCATAAATACCTTAGTTCTGATGTGATTTTTAGGGAATCCAGGGTTTGTATTACAAAGTATAATTAGTAGATTGTCCAGCTCTAGGGTGGTGCAGTTGGTAGCACTGTTGCCTCGCAGCAAGAAGGTCGCCGGTTCGTGTCCCGGTGGGGGCACCGGAATCTTTCTGTGTGGAGTTTGCATGTTCTCCCCGTACAGCGTGGGTTCTCTCCGGGTTCTCCGGCTTCCTCCCACACAGTCCAAAAAACATGTTGAGGTTAATTGGTGATTCTAAATTGTCCGTAGGTGTGAATGTGAGTGTGCTTGGTTGTCTGTCTCTAAGTGTAGCCCTGTGATAGACTGGTGACCTGTCCAGGGTGTCCCCTGCTTTTGCCCTAAGTCAGCTGGGATAGACTCCAGCCCCCCCATGACCCTAGTGAGGATAAAGCGGTGTATAGATGATGGATGGATGGATGGATGTCTAGCTCTCTATGGGCTTAACTCAGGTTTTCCAGCATTGTAAACCTGACTAACTTAAAACCAGGACAGATTATCATGCTAACTGAAGCTGCACTGCTGCTGTTCTGACAATGAAAGCTAGGCTAAAAGACACATCATCGAGTATTAAAAAAAAATCTGTACCACTCATAAACTTTCACATCTTTGTAGCTTAGAAGTTGCACATCTCTGGATCAGGTTAACTTCAGAGGATCAGATCAAAACCTGGAAATACAGAGTCATCATTCCTTCAGGATCCCAGAGACATGAGTTACAACATGTCGTTTTTCTACTCCAGGCTGTTTTATAATTGTATTACTCCAGCTGTTTATCACACTGGATAACTACATCATGATGTTTAAAGCTGATAGTTAGAAATAAAAACTAAACTATGTTGCCTTTTCATAGAAAAGTGATTAAAATTTTTCATCACTGTAACATCTTAATCACCTTATCGGGGATTAACTGCTTCTCTCTCCTCTCCACTTTGCTTTAGCAGCAGAAACAGTCTGAATGTACTTTTTTATGTGAATCATATTTATCCGCGTCTGACCAAAAATAAATAAAAACACGCACTCTATCCTCCACAATCTTCTCATAACTCCTGTGCCTACTTATATCCTTTATTGTGCTTTAATAGTTTCTTGTTTCTACAACACCTTAGACGGTTTCAGTTATGAAAATATGTCAGTTTTTGGAGTCACTATAGTGAGATTTCTCCATGATTTTTATGACGTTTCCTCATGAATGCTTTTGTGGTCGGAGGTGCAGTACCTCAGAGCCAGGTGATTAAAAGCTTCATGATTAAATATGCCAGGATGGCTGATGCTCAGTGCAGTAAGGCCAAAGTCTGTCTAAAATCTTACCTTACAACATCCTTGGTGAAGCCAGATAACCCCAAAGGAGCAAGACTAAGTTCATGTGCGAATGTATGTGTTATTATTTAAAGAAGTTGCTCAAAACCCAGATAAGCTACCTCTGATAGAAACAAGGTTGCTGAGGCTTTTAAACACTGCATCCAGGTTTTCTGAATTATCTTTGTTCGTACTAAACATTGCGCTGAGACGGTGAGAAATCCAAACTTGACGGACGCATATGATCCAGACTCTTGGTACTGTAAAGACCATGTAAACAGGGATATGAACAACCTGGTGGGGAACCAGCACACTGATGTAAACATGTTAACGCTCTGATTATCAGTATGATAAAATGAATACAGTCAAAGTTGTACTTCGTCATGACCAGCTGGATTTGACTAAAAGTGAAAACAACAGTAGAAATTTGATATGCAAAGTATTTCAAGTGCAGTTGTCTCCAGTAGATGCGACTCTCGACTGGAAAGTTTGTTCTTGACTTTTCCTCTCTTTTCCACAGAAAAATAACAAAACATTAAAAAATATAAACTGTATAGACACTTGATGCACATTTTGATATTTTAACCACCGTCTGCAGTCGCTGTTTTGGGCCTATTTTTAACTAATTTTTACATTCCTCTGTTTTTTACTTAACATCTTCTGAATTTCTGTCTTGATCTTATAAACAAGGCTGTTGTGCCATTATATCCAGAAGCATAAAGATGTTCGTTAACATGTAAGACTTGTGTTGAAACCAAATTTAAGCTGTGATGAAAATATGAAAGAGCTTAAAAGACACTTTTTATCAATTACAAAACATTAGTAACACATATAAACTTATAATTGTATCCATTTGTTAGAAGATGACAGTGATTCTGAGACACAGTCGTGGACCACTGCAGAGAGGACCTCGGTTTAGATGTTAATTTCTCTTTTTGCGTGGTTGCATCGGTCAAACCACAAACTCATCATATTGTTGTCTTTCCTCTCAGGCCAGCAGAGAACCAAGTCCAGATCCCAGTGCAGAGGAAGGAGGCTCAGAAAAGGAACAATCTGCAGAAAAAAACAAGCAGGAGAAGAATGCAGAAGCCAAACAGGTACAAAACAACAGCAATGTGCTCCTGTTCATAATGCAGTTCTGCTTCTGCTTTTTTCAAACAAACAAAATCAGGCATCATTATTTTTTTTTTTACGAATGAGATTACTTTGAAAACAAGCACACAACTTATTTTTAGAGGAATCCACATAATAACTCTGGATGCGTTGTGATATCTGCAGCAGCTAAAAATGAAATATAGGCATCGGGTCAGAAGAAATGTTCATAGGCAGATAACTCCTGTCAAGCTAAAAAAAATCACGGTTTTGTTGGAAAACATTACCAAAAAAGAAATATGCCATGTTTTGCATGTACATTTTTGTACTTTTTCTTTTATTTCCCAGTGAATATGTACATTTTAAACGTAGTGTAGTTTATGTTGCATCTGCACAGGCCTTCATGACAAGATAAAGTATGAAAATATGTCTATTCAGCCACAGGAGACACTTGATGTTCTCTGGAATTGGGTAGAAAAATACCTGTGCATATGTCTGCATCGATATTCGGCCAAAACGGGTAGCAACACGTGAGCATATTAGCGATCAGCAACAATCCTGTATCGTTCATTCCTAATAGCAAAGTGACTTTTACATCATTTTAACACACAAGTGCATCCTAGATTCTCAATCTTTGTAAAAGGAAAACTAGAAGGAGATCGCTTTTCGATGGGGGTAAACTCTTTATCTTCCACCTGTTTTCAGGATAAAGGAGGTCTACTCGCTGGAATGTTCCGGAAAACCCCCAAAGAGAAATCCTCTTCCTCGACAGCGGCGGTACCATCCACTCTCCTGCAGTTTTTCTTACATTAAATATCCAGTTTTAATCTTTTCCTGCTTTTTCACTCATTGTTGTGTTCGTTGTCAGGTCAGCAAAGCAGACAGTGATACCGAGGAGGCAGAAGACGAGGAGAAAACATCAGAACAATCCCACGTAAGTCTCATATTAGTGGCTTTAACAACAGAAGCTACAAAGTGCTTGCAGAGGATGAGCGGCACAGTTTTGAGTGTGATAAAAGCTAGCTAGAATGTGATCTTTATATACTTTTTTATGGAGAATTAGCTCCTGTTCAAAGGATATGCATCAAATATCTGGTTACATCCAAATATTTATGTCTTTTGTGGTTATGTTGGAGGAAAAAGTCTTTTTCAGCATGTTTTCTGACACGTTTCTGCACAGGAAAAGGGAGGCTTCTTCTCTGGCATTCTTAAGAAATCCAGCAAACATGCAGATGAGACGTCTGCACAGGTGAGCTGGCAAAGATCACCGTCTGCTTCTAAAAATGTTACAATAAATGCTTGATATTTTTTGGAAATGCTGGTTCTCATGACAAGAGAAGACTGATAGTATTCTCATATCTGTACACTTAATTTGAAGTAATAGCCAGGAGACAGATAGGTTAGCATAAAGACTGGAAACAGGGAGTTATCCATGGACAGAATCACACATTTTTATGTGCTTTATTGTCATCTGATGCCATTTTTTTATGATTTGAAACTTGAAACTTTCACTTTGGTGTTTCAGGAGAATCTGAGCGCTCATAGTGAACTATCTGCCAGCAACGACAGTCTGTCGGAAAACAAGGTGAGCAGCTTTGCGTTCCAGTAGCTGCTTTGGTAGCAGTAAAGATAACGTTATCTTTAACTACAGTGTACACACACATCTCCAGTAGATTTACCTGCAAGAATCCTGTCTTCGACCTGAACATGACCCAAAGAAACCTTCCATAACTCACCGTGTTTGCACTGTTTCAGGAAAAAGGAAAAATATTCGGTGGCATTTTCAAGAAGTCGAAACCAGCAGAAGCCGCTCAAACCGATGAGGTAGAATAGTTCAAAAATCTGATTTTAAAAGTTTATGTTTATATCAATACCAAAAGGTTACAACATTAGTTTAATTCTGTCGCCTGATGAATAGATTACACGTGTTTGTTTTGTGTTTCAGGACCAGACGTCTCTGCACGGAGACCTGTCCGGCAGTAATGATAATCTGATTGAAGCTCCCACAAAGGTGAGCTGGGACGTGTTAATGTGGAATATGATGCAATATTGTCATTGTTATTATTATTTAAGTGTGTCTGACCAGTTAATTTGCGCAATGTCACCAGGAGAAAGGGTTTTTCAGCGGGATCCTTCGCAAATCTCCCAAGCTGCCTGGAGAGGGGACGCCTGGGCAGGTAACGTGTGAAATGATGAAGTGACAGCTTTTACAAAATATGTGTTGTATGTCTGTCTATACACTTACTGGAGGTTAAATTAAATGAAACTGGGCTATATGGGGAATCCACGTCAATTTGATTCCCAGCTGGCCAGATATTCACTGCATGTCCCCCGTTCTTCTTCCCCACATGTACTCTCTTTCTGTGCTGTAACTATCAAATATACGACAAGAACGGCAAAAATAATATGAAAATAGAAAACAAATTGTATTAACTTTTCATATCAAACACTGCTCGTACATATATCCTTCAGCCGTACATATTTAGTGAACAGTATGTGTTTTGATAGATTTCCCACAGAGAAAGCAAAGAAAAAGATGGTAAAAAAAATAACTACTCCTATCTTGTTATTTCTCTTTATATTTTTATATAATCAGTGTTAGGAACTTCGTTTTTTGGTGTTTTGTATATTTTTCTCTTTTTTTTTGTACAATTTATTATTATTCTTTTTAAACTTTGTCACTTTGATCGCCTTATCTGAATTTTCCACCACTACAGTTATGATAATACAGGAGGAAATTTCAAACAGAGATGTGTTGTCAGTTGGCTTATTTACATTGTTGATGTAAATAAAGTCTGTACTCTTACTTGGTGTGCTGCATTGACAACAGACTCCCTGGTAGTAAGTCCTGCACTTTAGATTTAACTTAAGAAATTACAGTTGCAGTCAATGTACCTGCCAACAGCCATCACCTTAAAAAACAAATTTGACTGACTGAATGATTGTTGTTGTTGTTGTATAGAATATATGTTATATTGATTAAAAAAAAAAAAAGTGAGCTTTTACAAGATTGAATTTCCCTTCTGGGATAAATAAAGTATTATTCATTTCATTTCATTTCATTTCATTTCATTTCAATGTTCAGCAGTTTCTTATTGCAGTTGAGCCAAAAATGTATGTGCAGCACTATCAGTGTTTGATTTTGTTGATTGATTATACATGATGAGTTTTCTATTGTTTTCTATTTAATGAGTTTGTGTTTCAGGATAAAGAGTCGCAGCAGAGCGACCTGTCGGCCAGCAGTGAGAGTCTGTCAGAGAACAACACAAAAGTAAGAGCGGTTTAGATTTTTCTCCAAACTTTTCAGTATAATATCTGAAGCCAGTGAGACGACTAATGAATTGTACAAAGCAACACGTATGACAAAGTACTTTTTTTTTGTGTGTATCAGGAGAAAGGAAATGTTTTCAGTGCGATGTTTAAGAAATCTCCAAAACTGTCTGAAGGCTCACGGCTGGAAGAGGTAATGTATTTACACTTTTAAAGCTTTTTATTGCATTGTGAGTTCTTATTTTGTACTTTATATATCAGGCCCCGATTACTAAGTTTGTTTTCTTCCTGGACAGAAAACCTCCGTCTCTTTAATCATCATTAATCACTTAATTGGTTTCTTATGTAACATTTAGTTAAATCAAATTACATCAGTGCGAGAAATCCGATTCCTGAGCAGAATATTGCGACACCTGTTTCCTCCATCTGTGTGTCAGGTTTTGTTTCTACGAGGAGGCGCTCTCGGTATTGTTGTTCACACAGGTTGAGTCACATTTCTGTTGTGTTTAGGGTGCAGAGCCGTTGCACGGTGAGCTCTCTGCCAGCAGTGACAGTCTCGCGGAGAACAAGGTGAGTCTTTCATGACAGAATCGACACCCACTGAAACTTCATGAGTCATAATGACAGCGTGACTGAGCTGGAGCACTTGTGGCTCTGCTGATGGAAGATAAAGTTTGTTCCTGTTAACTCTGAAATTACAGCCTATGAATTTTCTTATCTCTTTCTTTCTGCAGGAGAAAGGCGGTTTGTTCAGTGGACTCCTCAGGAAGACTCCGAAAACAACCGGAGAGGTGAAGCTACAGACCGTAAACACTCTGATTCAGAGATTCTGTAATGCAGCTTATGTCATAAAACCAGGGGAAAGGTGCAGATATCGTCTAGATTAGTCTTCGTTGAGGGGCGGCATCACGACTTGCAACACCCAGCATGCTTTGCATTTCACATCTGCTCCTCAGACCCTTGTCACAGCAGACATTTTGGCTTGTCATAGCAGAAAAACACAAGTACAACAGATATTAAAAACATTCCATTTAGATGAGCTAGAATAAAGATGCTACTTGGTGGGGACTGTGTTGACGTCCTTTGTTTCACCTTTTCCTGCCATGACAGGTCAAAATATCGGCATGTAAATCTGTGGAGGCAGATTTATGAAAGGAACAAGGAAGTACAGTCTTTAGTTTGAAGTCAAGGCTGAAAAAACCCCAACGTTTCACAGGTGAATGAATCTCTATACAGGCAACGTGGAAGGAAGAAACATTACCAGTTTGTAATGAGTGGGGACGTAGTGCTGGAAGAAGCATTCAGATCAATTACTTAAGTAAAAGCACCAACACATCAATGTGAAATACTCCATTACAAGTAGAAGTGCTGCATTAAAGGTCCTACATACGTGAAAGTTCATAAATATCAGCAGAGAAGTATTAAAGTAAAAGTCCTGGTTTGGTCCTTCTGACTGATGTATGTGTGACTTCATTAGACTGTTATAGTGAAGCTTCAGTGTGTTACTGTATACCGGGACCGCAGATGAATCTGAGGGGTCATGTGGTGATTAATGTCAGAAGAAAGATGAAAAAACTAAGTCTCGATTTGCAAATGCAGCTTTTGGATTTTTCCTCTAGTCTTTGATTTTTGGTGAGATATTGGATCATTTGAACATTTATTGAAAAAGTTTAAAGAGAAAAATCCCTATTTGATGGTGATTAAATGTGACCCAGACAGCACACTGCAGAAACCAAAAAAAGTTGGAAAAAACTACTTTAACCTTTAACTTTGTTGTATTTTTTAAAGCTTGTTATAATATCTATTGTGTAAAATCTTCATCTTTAAGGGAATCAAAGCTGACAGATAAATGTAATGGAGCAGAAAGCTTCAGTATTTCTTACAAAAACAGAGTGCATGTATAAAGCAAAATAAAACGGAAATACTCCAGTACAAGTACCTTAAAGCTGTAGCAAAGTACTGTACTTGAGTAAATGTACTCTGTTACTTTTTTTGAAAACAGTGAAGTTGCTCTTCAGTCCACGACCAGACCAGACCAGACCATGCTGATTTACATCCAGCACACAGAACAGGACGGCACATTGTTTATGTGTTTGTAAATAAAGGAGTTAGTTTGTTAAAATGTAAATCTCCTTCCTCTTGTTGTTTTGGGAAGTGGCTTAGTGATGTGGTCTCCTGTCTTTATTTAGAAAGATTATTCAAACTGACTCATGTGGTCCTTACATTGATTACCAACATCAAAACACAACTCTTCTCCTTATTTAACAAAGGTTTTAGGTTATCTTCCTTTTATCAGGGTTGTTTGTGTTTTTCCAGTTCCCTTATTTACATTTACAGGGTTTAGTATGTCACGGTTGCTTCAAAAACATAATATAAAGTCCCTTAGAATTATTACAGACTCCAACTCAGTTTGTCGTGTTTTCATCAGTGGCAAACAAATTTGTTGTAAGAGAACGTCAAAGTAAATGACGGCAGTAGATGAATTCTGTGTTTTTGTTCCAGGAGAATCTGTCGGCACATAAAGATGTTTCAGGCAGCAGCGACAGTCTGTCTGAGGCGGCCAACACAAAGGTCAGTTTGGCTACAAATACAAGACTTTCTGGTAACCTTTTTTTTTTCAAGGTAATACTACAGATTTTCAAATTAAAAAAAATGTGGCATTTTATATATAATCACCATAAAACAAACAGAGCAGCATGGAAACGTGATTACAGCAGTAAATATATAGAGATATAGACAAGAAAATATTGAGTAAAGAATCATTAACAGGTTTTAATTTTGAAATTCTCAAAATTATGAAAAATTAAAAAATAATAATTGAGAGGCAGAAGCATCAACCAAGAGTCCATCTAATCTTAT